AGAGCGAGTCGAGGGGAGAGAGAGAGAGAGAGGATCGTGCAAGCTGGGCACGATTTGGTACTTGTTCTACTTCTCTCTCTCTCCCTATATATATATATATACATACACAAAAGCTGTCATGTCAACTGCTCATGTCATATGTAGGATAGGATCAAGGCAGGTTTATGGATGACTGCGAGTGACATCAAACGAATACATTGGTTCCCCTTCTTGTCATGCAGTGGAACCAATGTAAAGCCAAAGAAGGGGCATGCTATAGAGATCATCACAGTTGTTTGTTAATTATTCTGAAGAAATATAATTCCACAGCACATTTCTGTATAACATATCTGGCTGAATTGAAAATTTGTATCAGATCAGAATAAGGTTGTTTTGGATCAGATAATGCAAACAGCAGCAGGAAGATTCAAAGAGATCCAAAGAAATGCAATGTTTTGGATCAGATTCTACTATTCCAATGCTAGTTTTATCTAACCACATACTTCATACTAGTGGTCAAAGAGAACACTGCAAGTACAAGAACTTGTACCACCTGAGTATTAACCATATAGAATTTCTAAACAGAATAATTAAAAGAAAGAAGTCAGACAAGTTTCTAAATTAGATAAACAAAATTTTGAAAGAGATGCAAGAGAAGGGTGGGGAAAAAGGCATTGGCATACTAGTATTCTACTTTCCCCCAAGTGTGGGGAATTGTCCAGGATCCTCAATGGAAGGAGCATAAGTGGGGCTTACTGCTGCACCGCCAAATCGCTCCGGTATGTCCCACGATCACCTTGGCCTCTGCCATGGCCATGACCACCAAGACTGTAGCATCTTTCCTCTTCAGCTGGTCTCAGAAACTCTGTGATACTCGGACTAGAGCAGGAAATCACATAGGTTTGGTTCTGTTCAAAGCAAACTTATTTATCAGAGAATACAATGCCTTTTTGCCTCGCTCCTCCCGATCAGCACTATCTTTTCTTCTTCCCATATCCTTGTCGGAACCCTATTAAAATCATTAGTAACATTAAAATTTGATTTTGCTAACGATCTATTACATGGAGGTGGAGCCTACAAATAGTGATGTGACTAAGCTTACCAACTTAATAAAATGTAATTTCCCACATCAACCAGTTCAACAGGTGAACACAAACAGAAAACATAAGCACATTTTTTTCCAGACAAAGTTAAAATGTAATAATCTAAAAGAAAATATTCAATGAGTGGTTTCATTTATTTCTTCCTTTTCTATTCAAGCCATACTTCCTTTCAAAGATGCAGTTAGAAATCCACTCCCTGGTATATATCTATGACAAACATTTGAACATGTAGAACTGGCAATGCATTCTTTGGTAGCACTAAAGATACTAACTGAAGTACTAGCTTTGCTACTTCAAACAATATAGTGGTACGTTTACATGACGTCTCAAGTTGTCAGCTCCCTCCTTGAAAACATCCATGCAAAATATGTGGCGGCTTTCTAAATTATAGATGGCACTGAAAACACTCACCAAAATCCATAAACGTTGATGCTACCACAAAATATGTATTTTGGCCAAGAAAAATGAAGCACTTCATATGCTCCTGGTTCTCACCATGACCCCTTCGATTGACCGCAGCCATAAATAAGAGCATACTAGATATGCTCCTGGTTCATCAAACGATATCATACATGCAGATTTTTTTATATTTTTGATTTATGGCCTTAATTAACAGAAAGTCACAAAACATATTTTGCAACCAAAACAATATCCAAGAAAACTGAAAGCATACAATTTCCAAGGCCCTTCTTGCAAGCAACATTTTGTTGGACAAGGAAAATTTCAAAGATAGGGCTGTAAGTAGATTTTAGTGTATGCCTGCAACGGAACTGAAGTGGCAGATATACATAAGCTTTATAGCAAGCCACCTAGTTCTCTCAAAGGCAATAGCAAACAAGGACAAGATTTACCTCATCTTAAATGTAATGTGAAGATGTTCAGTGTTGGACCCTAAATAAGATGCTTCTAGTTTCTTTAAATCCGTAAGTGAATCCACCAACTTTATCATTATCATTAACAAAAATGCTGTTGGGAGAGAAGACTGCAGTGATTCTCCGAAAAAAAGTGAATAATACTAAGAGTATCTAAACTACACCTACAAATAAATAGGGTCAAATATATCAGAATAGATGATGAGGTACCTTATTTTCAGGTTCTTTTTCATCATTTTCAATTGCTGTGGCCTCCATGCTTTCCTTATTCACCTCTGTTTGTGTTCCACCATCCTATTCTTCCTTAGAATTTGCAAGCTTCCCATCCATGTCTGCCTCTTCTTCGGTCCCTCTATTCCAACTATTCTCAGATCAGCACAAATACATAAACAAGCATTGATGGATGATATTATTGTAATAAAAGATTAATCATAACTGTGCAATCAAATCATCATCCTTGGTTCCCCAGTTCGCACGCCTTGTGCCCTCACGCTTCATCTCATAACCCCGACCGCTTCCACCGCCTTCTACGTGGGGGTCGTTCGGAGTCAGACCCGCCTTCTCCATTACTATTGCCATATCCACCAAGTCGACCACCACGAAAATACTGCCGTTGCGCCCCATATCCTCCACGCCCCCTTTCAGAGGGCTTATCACCATCACCCTCTTCAGAAACACCGCCACCGTAGCCCCTGGCAAATCCATTGACGTCCCCGTTTCCTAAATCATTTAACTAATTAATTGTTGATAAAACGAGCTCGAAGAACAAACAAAATGCCAATTTTTCGAGCAAACAGTAATCGGGAAGGATCAAGAATAGCAAAAAAAAAACCTGCTTGAGCGGAAGTGAGGGGCTTGTTCGGGAATTTGGTCGCCGGCACAGCCGCGGGTGCGTGGGGCTTCTTGAAGGCAACCTTCTGTTTCCGGACAGCGAAAAGATGCGAAGGATCGTCGTTGTCGTCATCGGCCAGGAGATCAAAAGTGTTGACGGTAGCCATCGGTGTCGGAGGCCGAACCGATTAAATACCGATGCAGACCCTAGAAATGGATCAACAACCGAGCTCCATAGGAAACTCCAAGGATCTACGAAAGAGAGAAACCCGTAGCTTCGAATTCTGCTGCGCCGCCGTGGCGCGAGCGCGGCCGCAAGAGAACCCTTACTCTCTGGACTCGTATAAAACGAAACGAGCCAAATACATATATATTTGACGGTTGTATTTCGTTCACAACCGTTTCTTTGACGGTTTTGTACTCCCTTACATAATTATTTACGAGCGTACCACCCTACAGTTACCGGTAATCAGTTTAGAATGCGAGGGATATTACGGTCATTTTGGAAATAATAAATTAGAGCTTATGTATCTCGTATTAAATTGGAACGCCAATAACTTTAATTCTTTTCTGGAAATTTTATATATAGATTTAACTATATAAGATATGGTTTACATTGCCATGTATAGCACAAATAGAAATCCGATAATATTATTGTTCATTGCACATCAACAACATAATATAAGCCACAGTTCACAATTATGACTGCTACTGCAGAAACTAAGCTCTTTGGAACGTGCTTTATTTACTCATGAGTGCAGTACATGGAGGATGGAGATAGATAGAGAAAGCATGAGGGGCTCGATGTGAGATGACCATCGATGAATCCAAGGAAAATGGAACTCCTCGTCTCCTCAGACTCGATGACCACGGAGTGGATCATGCTCAAGGGGACCTCACCACTTCAGCTTAGCTGGGAAGTACTGCAGCAGGAACTGTAGCTACTTAGCAACAGCGGTGAGCAGAGAGAAAAGAAAGAAATCCAAGACACTGACCTTTTCGATGAGGGAAAGGTAGTATGGCTTCACTTCCTCCACATCGATTCTGACTTTGCTCTTGCTGTACAGGTCATATTTGCTGGATCCAAACAATGGTTTGCTGTTAGCAGGGCAATCTTGAGAGAGTAGATTTATCAGCACATCAAGATTCTGGAGATCTTACTTGAATATATGTAGCCACTTCAGATTCTCTCTGTCTTCCTTATTCAGTAGGTACTGATAGGCTCCATGCTTGTGCAGAGCTGAAATGTAACAGCATAACACAGAGTAATGTTCATTCGATCTGAAATTATGGTAGAGAAGTGAAAGGATGTGATGAGTTCATGGAATTACGGTAGAAAGAGTGATATCGGATGGCGAACAAAGCAGCTGAAGGAAGAGTAGTGTTGTTCTCCTTAGCCACCTAAAGATTGAACTTTGTGATCATAATTGAGTTCATCAAAGCTGAGGTACGGAGAGAGAGAATCTGATGATGTACCAGATACATGTAGTCATCATGCCCAAACGACATGAGTACATTCTCCAATCCACATCCTTCAGAATAAACTCCAAGCTTGGTGTTGTATTTAGGATTGTCGTAGTCTGGGTTTTCCTTGAAATGCTGCAGCAACCAAGAGAAGCAATCAGAGCATGAGATTTTTGGATTGGCATCATCCATTGAAGCAGTCCGGTACCTTGAAATGAACATTGGATTCATCAAAAGCACAGCCAACAGGGAATGTGTCACCTGCATCAAGAATTAGCTCACAGAATCAGCACCTTGGTAGAACATTCCCGGATGAAAGAGAAGTAAGAAGATGGCAGTGCTCACCGACGACAGCCCACTGCGGGAGTTGACCAAAGCTTGGATGGAGAAGCACCTTGCCGAGATCTGTTTCACAGCAGGACAGAGTCCAACGACGTCATTCTACCTCAGAAGCTCCACGGGACTAATTTCCATGAACAAGCAGCTCACCATGAATCAGGCCGGTCAAGTGAAGCCAATCCTCGTCAGGGTAGTCCTTCCTGATGGCTTCAGCGGTCTGCAACAGGTGTTCGATCTGTGGCTCGTCGAGATCGGGATCGCTCTCGTCGACGAACTCGTTGAGCAGCTCGATGCACTCCCAGATGCTCATCTCCACCCTATCCAACTTGCCATACTCCTCTCTCATTTTCTTCACCTGTTCACCAATCATACACCTTGATCTTAATTACCTCCATTGCTGCTTCTGCTCGATGCTCGCTAACATGAAAAAAGGAACGATGTTGACCGACGTACAAAATCATAGGTTTGATGGATATGGTTCGCTCGGTAAAACTCTTCCACTGACTTCTGCCTCTCGGATGCAGCATCATAGTCCCTGCCAATGAGGTGATCACAGATCATCGAAACAACAACTCATATGAGGCCACCGAAACATAAACACAAGCATCTTTATCACATCAACAGCAAAGTGGACCACAAGAATCTAATACAGTAATCAGCTAATGATACCTGAAGGTTTGTCCAAATGAGTTGGTATTTGGCACCACAAAGCCACCACCCAAACCCATCTCCTTCGAGTCTCCTGCAACAAGAACAAGCCCCATCACATCCACGCAATCCAACACTAAATCCTAAAACAAGAGAAGAAAAATTACCAACGACCATAGTCATCTTCGCACACAACTCGAAAACAACAACAACAAGAACAACGGGAATGATGCGGTATTGTTTGTATTTGGCGGTGGTGACAAGATAGAGAGGGCATATAAAGGGAGGGGGCGATGCAAGCAAGCAAGCAAGCAAAAGGAGAAGTCTGCCATTTGGAGGAGCACACAGCTGTTCTGTGACGCAGAGCTGAGCTGGACAAAAGATTTGAATTGGTCAACTGCGTATAATATAGTGAATTATCTCGACGGGATTAATGCACGTGACGCATAGTGAATCATCGTGATAGATTACGACAAGCAATTTATAGTAAATTATTGCTGTCGTGGATGAGAACATGGAATCTATAGTAAATTCCAGGCAAATTTAGGGAGGAAGCCCGGTAAGGACGAAGAGGATAAGACGAGTGTGGGAATGACTGGGAATTGGCGTGGAGACACCACAAGGTGAACATGCATGATTGTCTCATCCTCAACTTGGCCTTCGAGGACATAATATTTTACGTAGAACAAGACAAGTGCATACATCTGGGTTACGTTTATTCTCATGCATGATTCATGAAAAGAATAACATAGCATTGTCTTTTTAGATTAATATACGGCGTAGGTGGATCACAGATGAGGTGTTCATTGTTCTAACTTATGACTGTCATTTATTGCTCCTGCATCAATCATCATTTCTATCCGATAACTCTAAACTATTTATATGTGCCGAAGCAAAATGATAGAAATTATACTAAAAGAATAACCCAAACAATGATACGTTTGGAGAGTTTATTAAGAAAGAGTAAGAAAAGGAAACAATATAAGAGCCATTAGTAACTAAATCTTGCATTCATTATGATCGATTTCCCTATCGATAGTATCTAATAAAAAAATCATGTTATATAGACTGGAGTGGGGTAAAATATTCTTAGATTTCATAATTAAGAACACATTACGCCAGAAATTCAAGTCTTATCTATCACGTAATATATTGAGGTTGGAAAGAATCGTTCAGACTAAAAATCATGTTGCCGGCGACTCATGACGTCTCATCAAGGATCGTCGGTTTCTTCGGAGACAAGGGACCCACGTGACGTGGAGCCGAGTCAAGCTTGGAAACCCGGCAACTCGCAGCCATGGCTGGATCGATGGAGACTCGCAAATATCTTTCTTACCCACAGCTTCGGTGAGTCGCCTCGTAAGGTTTGGCCGCCGAAGAACGGACGGCAGCGAAAGCGTCTAGTTTCAATCATAGCTACTACCTGCCATGCATGCAGAAATCTGCATGTGAGTTATGGAGTTATATGCTGCTAACGTGTGGATGAGGAATTGCTCGTGTCGGTGTAAACAACTTTGAGCCGTGGTCACGGGTCGACGCGGCTCGGTTCGGGTCCGAATGACGGGGATCTCCCGGGAACATTCCTCGAGACGACTGAGGTGGTCGATTACGGTAGTCTGATCGGGACGGAGTCGACGTTTCCTCCGGGAGGAAACTCCTCGCCTGGGCGCCTAGTGGGAAGCCGTCGTCTTCGCACCTGCACACAGGTCGGGTCGGGAAGCTCGACCCGACCCCTCCGACGATCAAGTTAGAAGATAGTAGAGGGGGTTTCGGATGAAGAATTCTCTTTGGTCTCTCTCCCCTCTTTCCCGTTCAGAATGCGATGGTATTTATAGATAAGCTTACTGTTTCCTGATGTGCCCGCTTGCAGGGGGCAGGCTGATAGCGTCTAACATTGGTGTTGGTGTGGCGTGAAGAACAGAGCCTGAGCAGGAGTTAATGTGCCTCGGCCGGTGTTCTGGTCTGTTTGACCAGGTGCTGTCGCGTCGATCGAGGCGTGAGGCGTCATCTGACGTCAACCGAGTCTTATCATAATTACTATCCTCATCATATTCCCCCCCAGAAAGAAGCTATGCATCGGTCGTTGTAACAGGAGTCCAAGGCATGGTTTCAGCTTTCAGGCGGGCTGGGCGCGCAGGCGCGGTCTCGGGGAGCATGGAGCCGAGGAGCACGACGCAGGCGGGCTAGCCGTGCAGGTGTGTCTCGGGGAGCATGGGGCCGAGGAGCATGACGCAGGCGAGCTGGCCGCGTAGGTGTCTCGGGAAGCATGAGGCTGAGGAGCACGATGCAAGCGGGCTGGCCGCGCAGGTGTGTCTCGGGAAGCACGGAGCTGAGGAGCACGACGTAGGCGGGCTGGCCGCATAGGTGTGTCTCGAGGAGGATGGAGCCGAGGAGCACGACGCAGGCGGGCTGGCCGCACAGGTGTGTCTCGGGGAGCATGGAGCCGAGGAGCACGACGCAGGTGGGCTAACCGCGCAGGTGTGTCTCGGGGAGCATGGAGCCGAGGAGCACGACGCAGGCGGGCAGGCCACGCAGGTGTGTCTCGGGGAGCATGGAGCCGAGGAGCACGACGCAGGCGGGCAGGCCGCGCAGGCGTGGTCTCGGGCAACATGGCCCAAGGGCTCGACACAGGCGGACAGGCCGCGCAGGCGTGGTCTCGGGCAACATGGCCGAGGGGCTCGGCGCAGGCGAGCTGCGCCCGAGGAGTGTGGCTTAGGCCGAGGGACACGACTCAGGCGAGCAGGCCGCGCTGAGGTAGGCTCGGGTAGTCTACGACCGAGAGACACGGCTCAGGCGGGCAGGCCGCGCTAAGGTAGGCTTGGGTAGTCTACGACCGAGAGACACGGCTCAGGCCGAGGGACACGGCTCAGGCGGACAGGCCACGCTGAGGTAGGCTCGGGTACTCTATGGCCGAGAGACACAGCTCAAGCGGGCTGGCCGCGCTAAGGTAGACTCGGGTAGTCTACAGCCGAGGGACGTGGCTCAGGTCGAGGGACACGGCTCAGGCGGGCTGGCTGCCCTGAGGTAGACTCGGGTAGTCTACGTCCGAGCCGTGTAGATTCAGAAGGGTTTAAGCCGGGGCTAACCGCGAGCCGAGAGAGGGGCAGGTAGATACTGAACCTTTGCTTGGAAGAGAATGAGGCAGGGCTTAGATTTCTTTTCATGAGGACTACATCGGGTAGCCACCACGGGTGCTTGACCTCTCTTATGGAGCCCACGGTCGGAAGTCGTCCCTTCTCCTCACGGCCGCCCAGGCCTCCGCCGCGATGTACCGGTTAGCCCGCTGGAGCATCTCTGGCACCGTGGTGGGAGGTCGCTCCGCGAGGGACCAGAGGAATCTAGAAGGTCGCAGGCCTACCATAAACACCTGCACTAACAGAGAGGGGTGAGTGTCTGGCAAACCCCGGATTTGCGTGGCAAAACGATCCACAAAATGTGAGAGGGGCTCGTCCTCCCTTTGTTTGAGTCTGAGGAGCAGTGTCGCGGATGGCTTTGGCCGTGCATAGGCCACGAAGTCATTAACGAGCTGGTCGAAGGAAGCGATCGTTCCGGTCTTTAAGCCGCCGTACCACGCGTGGGCCGGCCCTCTCAGAGTGGTAGGGAACGCTCTGCACATCAAGGCATCAGAGGTTCCGTATAGCGCCATTTGGGTGCGAAAAGCGGCTACATGGTCCGCTGAGTCGGTGGAGCCATCGTAAGCGTCTAGAGAGGGGGGTTGGAAGTTCGAGGGGACTGTCTGATCCCATATCTCGAGCGTGAAGGGAGACCCTTAGTGTGTGCCCTCCCTGAGCTCTCCCTTGGACCTACGAACCTCTTTCTGCACCTTGTCGAGTCGCTGGCTGACGAAGCGCAACTGGGCCCGTAGGGAGTCTGAAGAAAGTGTCTCGGGTTCCGGGCGACCGCTCGGGTTTTCCATCGCTCGATCCCCGAGTGGGGCCGGTCGGACCCGAGGTGAAGTGGGGAACTCCGGAAGTGTCGTGTGGGCCAAAACGGGCGTCTTGCGTTGTCGCAGTGGTTCGATCGCAAGCGGGTGCGCCGGATGAGAAACGAGCGGGATAATGGTTTGCACCACACCCATCAGAGCTCGGACTTGATGAGCGATGTCCTGAAAGGCCTCGGACGACACAGGCGGGGGGTCGGCAGGGGCGCCGTCGGGCGGCGACAAGCCCGGGTCATTGAATATTCGCCAATATCGTTCTGAGGTCGTGGCAGGGTGTTCGTCACGATGGTCTCCGTGCGGGGGATGTTCCCCCGAGGCTTTAGTCAGGTGCGACCTCTCAGCCGTGGGCTCATCTGAGCCGCTCGGGTGATCACTTGACATTTCGGGCCCTCCTTCTAACGCCAATCTGTCGGTGTAAACAACTTTGAGCCGTGGCCACGGGCCGACGCGGCTCGGTTCGGGTCCGGATGATGGGGATCTCCCGGGGACGTTCCTCGAGACGGTTGAGGTGGCCGATTACGATAGTCTGATCAGGACGGAGTCGTCGTTTCCTCCGGGAGGGAACTCCTCGCCTGGGCGCCTAGTGGGAAGCCGCCGTCTTCGCACCTGCACACAGGTCGGGTCGGGAAGCTCGACCCGACCCCTCCGACGATCAAGTTAGAAGATAGTAGAGGGGGTTTCGGATGAAGAATTCTCTTTGGTCTCTCTCCCCTCTTTCCCGTTCAGAATGCGAGGGTATTTATAAGGAAGCTTACTGTTTCCTGATGTGCCCGCTTGCAGGGGGCAGGCTGATAGCGTCTGACATTGGTGTTGGCGTGGCGTGAATAACCGAGCCTGAGTAGGCGTTAATGCGCCTCGGCCGGTGTTCTAGTCCGTTTGACCAGGTGCTGTCGCGTCGATCGAGGCGTGAGGCGTCATCTGACGTCAGCCGAGTCTTATCATAATTACTATCCTTATCAGCTAGAATATGATATAGTGGTTCAAGATCTAAGATAATTAAGAGAGAATCTAATTAGGATCTCAGTATATCTTAATCAATTAATTAGAATCATAAAATCTCATACTCTTCGTTTTGATCTCGATTGCACACCAGCCTTTTACCGGATGAAACTATGGGTATTTGGATCGAGCTCGGCCCATGCAAGCTGGGGATCAGCTTCACGTCCCGATCACACCATCGCCCCGATCCGTATGCGTTGGGACTTTATATTTGCTGGTCGAAATCGTGCAGTTTTCACATACATAAATATAAAACTCGAACTTGCATAGTCAAGAAGGATAAGAGTCGAGAAGGATAAGCTTCCGGTTCCCATGTTTTGCTCCCACAGAGTCTCTCTCTCTCTCTCTCTCTCTCTCTCTTCTCCCCCGACCGGTTGCCATCGGAAAGAAGAGTATGGGAGGAGGAGGTGTGATAACCCCCAGTAGGTAGCACACAGAAATACGACCTGTTTCCTTGTTCCGGAATCCGAGTGCTGTTCTTATCCGGAGGCATCCATGCTGCCTTACGATTGCAGCAACAGTGGGCTCACTCGGGGACCCACCACAAGCGGGGAACCGTGCGGGCAGCGTACATTCGAAGGCCGAACGTTGGTAACCTAATCCGTAGATTCACGAGGACGTCGGGGATCCGATGAGATGCACGATTATTAAAGGCAGCAGGCACACGCATGATGACCCGCTTCGCCCACCACGTCCCTGCATCACCCAGCTCTGCCTCTCCACGCATGCCACGTGGCAGTAGGAGCCGAGAAAGACCGTGGCCCAACATAATCATATGCGGCCACGAGTGCTGCAGTTGGCATCGCGTTCTTCCCATGCTGGAGGAGGATAAGATCCTCTACCAAAACTGGTGGACCCACAGCACCATTCTCCTCCTCACCCGTGGTATTGGATCGAGCCGTAGGATTTGGTTCTCACTGGCACTCCGGAAGGGGCCCACCGTTGTAACCCAAATCGTACAGAAAACAGTGCCAAGCCCCAGATCGGCTACACGAACCATGGTTCGACGGTCTGCTGCATCCACGTGTCCCACTTCCGTCTTTCTTCGCTTCCGCTTCTTTCTGACGTCGTTATTCTGACAAAGCATCGGCCCCTCGGGCGCCGTTAGTTTTGACGTCGTGTTTTCAGGTTTCGCGAAGCTTAACCAAACCGCGGTTACTGCAACGCCAACCGGGTTCACCCTCGTAGTTTATAATCACCCCTTGAGCGCTGCGACAAACTAGGTAGCAGGAGAGCCAGCGAGAGATGATGGCCATGATGATGATGGGGGCAGAAGGAGGGGACCGTCGTCATCCGACGGTCGTTGTTCCGCCGTGGTCGTCGCCCTTCGAGAGTCCGGCGGCGGGGATTGACTACCACCACTTGGCCGCCGCCGGCGGGGAGTCCACCCTCGCGCTGCTGCAGCGCCAGCTGCGGTTCGACGGCGACGAGGCGGGATGGGTGGAGGAGGACGTGGAGGAGCCAGACTCGGCCGTGGACGTCTACTCGTCGGACGAGTTCCGGATGTATGAGTTCAAGGTGCGGCGGTGTGCGCGCGGCCGCTCCCACGACTGGACCGAGTGTCCCTTCGTCCACCCTGGTGAGAAGGCGCGTCGCCGAGACCCCAGGAAGTACCACTACTCCAGCGCGGCGTGCCCGGACTTCCGCAAGGGCGGTTGCAAGCGCGGTGACGCCTGCGAGTTCGCTCACGGGGTGTTCGAGTGCTGGCTCCACCCGGCGCGCTACCGGACGCAGCCCTGCAAGGACGGCACCACCTGCGCCCGCCGCGTCTGTTTCTTCGCCCACGCGCCCGACCAGCTCCGCGTCCTTTCACAGCATCAGCAGACGACAACATTACCCGCGGTGGAGTCCTATGATGGTTCGCCGCTACGCCAACAGCAGGCGCTGGAGTGCTACATATCGAAGAAACTGATGTCCTCCAAGACCTCGACGCTGATGTCTCCGCCGGTTTCCCCGCCGATGTCACCGAGCAGGACAGCACTCCGGCGGGCGTCGTGGCCGGTGGGAACATCTCTGAACGAGATCGTGGCCGCACTGCGGCAGCTACAGCTCACCCAGGCGAATCCAGCGCCTAGCTGTTGGAACTTACAACTAGGTGACGGTCTGTTCGGATCGCCAAGATGCACCGCATCGGGGTTCAATGCCGGCTTTTGCAGTCTGCCATCGACTCCAACGATGGCGGGGACGAGTGGCGGAGGACTGGGGTGGGCGGACGACGCGGACGGTGGGTTGGCGGAGGGGGAAGAGCCAGTGGAGAGGGTGGAGTCGGGGAGAGCCCTCAGAGCGAAGATCTTCGAGAAGCTGAGCAAAGAATGCGTTGTGGAGCGAGCCGAGGCGGCTCCGCCGGTGCCGGCGCCGGAGGTGGTGAAGTGATATGCGGGAGGAGGAATCTTATGGGTGACCGTAAACCGTCGAGTGAGATAGAGAAGATGGATGTAGAATATTTGTACATAGAAAATGGTGGTGGGAATGGAACCGTGGTGGATCTGTTTTGGGGATTCTTCCTGCAGAAAGAAAGAAGGTGAAGCGATCCATGGAAGATCGAAGCAAGCAGGAGCAGCACCGCGGCCTTATCCTTGTGATTGCAATGTGAAATCTGTAATTATCACGTCTGTATTTTGTAGTATATATGTAGCTTTGTATCACGACGATTTAGTGAGACATGTCACTCCCTGCTGGTCCATGTCCGATGCATATGCGACGGCATTTCTTGCCCTCAGCTCGCCATTCAACGATGCATTCATTACTCCCTTCTCTGTCGCCTTTCTCATGGTAACGGGGACAGCGCGTCTCGACCTTCGCGCCGTTGATCCGGTCAAAGCAGAGGACCGGCGTCGTCCCTTCTCGTCTCTTCTGCCACCGCGTTCGCGTCGTCTTAGGCCATTCATCATCATCCCGTTGATTCCTGCCCCGCTCCTCCGTCGTCGTCGTCACTCCATCGAGGAGGGTCGACCGGTTCAGTGAATCAGTTCACCGGTCCAAATCGATTTAAATTTCTTTCAAAAAAATAATAAAAGAGTGAAATTAAAATCTTAATATCATGTGATAAAAATAAATTAGTCTAATTTTTTAGATAAATTATCCAAAAATAAATTTGAATTGAGTTATTATTCAACTAACACAATTATATCTTTCAGTCAGACCGATAACACCAAATTAATAGTCAAATTCAATAAAATAAAATGGTATTGTTTGTATAAGATAAAGCTTAATTATCGTTATTATAGATTCTCGGATGTCAATGCTTTTCTCGGCAAACAAAGGAAGGCGGGTTTCGAGGATGATTTTAAGCTCCTGGAAATCAATCAGCTCGGTGAGCAGACGATGACTCCTCGGGTCTGCGAGCAATCAGCAACCCATGCAGTTCCTTCATCATCTATTGGCTAAAAGATACAGTGGATAGATAACATTGTCATACGGATAACATCAATCATGTTTATTGGAATAGGAAAACTTACAATGCCCACCGTAATGAGCCAAACACATATATTACATCATTCATATACTTCAGATCGACTTGCAGACACACACACAGGTGCGCTAAACACAAGGAAGACGAAGATGTTTCGATCGAGCTGTCTAATTGAACAACACATTAGGAGAATATGGACTGGAAAAGTATCTGCATAAATGCCGCGATTGCAGATGTTTGGACAGTATTGAGCACCGTAGTCCAGGTATCATTGTGATGATGATGATGAGGAGGAGGAGGAGGAGGAGGAGGAAGGGGAGGGGGAGCGTTGTCAACCGAGTTCCAGCTGGCACCATGGTGAGGAGGCGGCAGCGGCGGGGGACGGGGAGGAGCAGGAAAAGGAGCATAGACATGTTGTGGTTGAACGGGAGGATAGAATACCGAGTTCCAGGGACCATGGTGAGGGGGCAGCTGCGGCGGAGGGGGAGGAGCAGGGCCATAGCCATGCGGTTGAGCGTAATAACTAGGGTAGGGATAAGGATAATAAGATAAAAGATGGTAGGGAGGAAAGGAAGGATAATGGCCAAAGTGTGATCCCGGATTCATGGAGCGGGAATTGTCAGGAGGAACAAAAGAGGTATTGCGGCCGTCGACCGTCGCTGCCGCCATATGACTGGATAGATACTGTCGGGTGCACTCGGCATGCACCTGAAAGTCGGGCGGATTAGTGGTATAGAAGGAGCAGCCTTCCAGTATTGAGTGGGGGCACAAGCTGCATACAGCGTTCGTCCCTGCACGAGCTCTCTCTACCAGAGTCGCTCGGAACGGGACGCCTGCGTGGGAGAAGCGTATTTCTCTGGGAAGTTCCATTCTCTGCGTTCTGCACGCAGCAAGAAGGAGCCTGTGATTTGTAGTAAGGAATGGGCGTGGTGAACGGAGGACGACGCACTGGCAATATATAGAACGCAGGGTTGCTAGCACAGACCATTGACTCAGTCTGGCCATACTAGTTCGAGGAAGGAGACGCAACGCGGTTGCGATACTTGTCTCAGTGTGAGACGTAGATACACATTGATGGCACAGAAGCCTCAGTACGATGTCGACTTCATTGTGGCGAGTGGTGAAGACGTTGACTTGGAAAGAGTATTATTTTAGGTTACGATTCATGATTACAGTACATTAAATACAGAGATCTAACGTTGAAATTAAATACAGTAGTATAATAGACAGATTATCGATTTTCTCGGAGCAAATTAATCATTAAAAGTTAATGATATGAAGCTAGAAAGAAGGAAAGGATCGTATGTGTAGCACTAGGATGATGGTTCATCGGCGAGAGCCAAGCGAGTGTTCCCGAGTCGAGTATAGGAAGAAGGAAGAAGGGGTCCAACGTGGAAAACTATGGAACCTCTGGTTGACTTTGGAATTAGAATTCTGGGAATTGAAGCCGAGTTTCATTTTGTGATGTGCCATGAGTATTAGGATATGATTTTTTATTATTTAAAATAATTTATATTCTATCTTTTAGTTAATACTAGGCTTTCTTGGGGTTTAAGCAGTGCATACTATGGACAACGCGCTACCTCCTCCGCCGAAGCCAAGGCCTAGAGAAGTTTTATGAGGTTCTTATCAACTGGGCCGATGGAGTGTGAGGAGGAGGCCCTTTGGTGGAAGCCACTCCTTGGCCCCATCTGATATAGTCATTCTTTCTTTCTCGATTCTTTTTCATTTTTCTTTAACTCTTGCTTTGTGATCCTTTGGTAGGTACGAATCTTTGGGAGCTAAAGAGCCTAGCAAAAACCTACCTACTAGTCATATGTGTCCTGCAAGCTAATCACATAAGTGATGACACATGTGACACATTGTGTCATCACTCATTATTCGATTCCATTGCACACATCTATGAACATCACAATATATACATTAGACAATATAAAATAAAAAATATCAATAATTAATAATAAGTAAAAAGATTGTACAGTGTGTCACACGTACCATCACTCACGATAATGAGACTGATTCACCTTTAAACACAGACCTTAAAAATCTCAGTTGTAAGTTACTCGAGAAGTACATCAAAAGATTACATAGTGTGTCACATATATTCGTCCATATGATCGAGGTGGCTGGTCTCATAGTTGCTCATGTGAGAACACTAAGAATATGGTACAAGTGCTCATTAGAGAATGATCCGCTTACGGAATACTAGACGGTTGATGATACCTCATTGTTAGACAACGATTTCGTCGTCTCAGTTGTGTATTCGATCCTTAGACTTGAGACACTAAGGACATCCTATACGAGTACTTCATTCTTTGATACCAAACTTATAGGTCTGAAAGTTTCAAATCTAGCACAACTGATCTTCGGGAGTAGTAGACAACCTTATGAAGATAATTGAGTGTTGATAGAGGATCATCCGCTCTCGGTGTCGTGAGAGAAATATCCTATGTGTTCTTACATAGGTAAATCTCTAGCTATGGTCATTCGGATTGACAGATAAATAGTTCTCGGGAAGAATCCGATTAGAACGAGACTCGAGTAGATTCCATATGGGTCTGACAGTACCATACTCGGTATACGGTCTCTAGGATATTAGATGAATGAGGGACACAGATACACAGTAACTAATGACAAATAGGTCCAATGGATTGGATTCATCCCCCTATATCGTTTAGGGACTATGACGTAGTAGCACAGTATGTCCGTAGTCGATGAGTCGAGTGAGTTATTATAAGAGATGATAATTCATTTAGTTAGAACGAGTTTTGACATGTATGATTTATGACTAGCTTGATATTGGGTCTAGAGGGTCACGCACATATGATATGTGTTGTGACGAATAAAGGTTCGGAGCCCCTATCGTATTAGATATCCAGTAAGCCCTAGAATTATTGAATCTTATGAATAAGATTCAATAAGAGCCAATGAGAGATTATTTGATAGAGATCCACTAATCCAAAAGACTTGGGTAGTTTGAAGGAGATCCAGTATCCAATAGAGCAGGATCCATTATTGTTAGTTAATATGAACATTTATAAATAGAAGAGAACTAAAGGAGCATAGACTAGACATTTTTTGTCTACCATCTCCTATTCTCCCCTCTCTCTCTCTCCTCCTCAATTGATAACCCTAGTTTGCGGTGTGTGGATCACCTAATGTATATGGAGAGAAGATTGTACAATGATTTGAGTAGCGTATTCGTCGCATCTATCATGCGGATCACTGAGTAACGTAGTTGATCTCATTCATCCACTTCTATATATCTAGGATTTTACAGGGATATATGATCTCCCTGGATAACAAATATCGCTTGATTAACTCTAAAACTAATCCTAATTAATCATAAACTTAAATCTAACCTATACCCTAACACTAAACCTAAATCTAACCTATACCCTAGCACTAAACCCAACTCTAAACTTGGTCAAAACCCTTCACATCTGCCTAACTCTAGACCTGTCTTGGTATCTGCTTTTAGACGAGCATGAAACTATCTTGGTATCTTGCTGATCTCCTTCGACACTTTCTGTCCACCATTTCCTTTTTTGTCTTTTGACTTTCATGAAGCCTCTATTCCCTAAAATAATCCCTCTGACCTTTCTCTCAGTGTGCATGCCACCTCAGCACTGCGTGCCATACCACCTTTGCCCTCTTCTGACACGGATGCTTCACTCAAATGGGTTCTCTGACTTCCAAACCTTGTGTGGGCGGTGGGTGGTGGGTGGCTCAGTGGTTGTGCGGTGACCTCATCCCTTTTTTTTTTATTTTTATTCCATTTAATTTATATTTCTTTTCTTTGATCTCAAAAGAAGACAAAGGTGAAGCAGACAGCCACAACATTCCCGTAGTTCCATGTGTCCCACCCCAGATACCATTTAGCAATCTCTGCCTTCCCATTGGTTAACAGATTGTGGGGCCCTTCTCAGAAGACACGCGAGCTCTTCCCGTCTCTGTCTCTCACTCTCTCTCGCGCAGCAGCCTCTCCCTTTCTCGATTAGCCTTGTCGTGTTGAACGACGACAGGACGTGGTCGGCTGATGCTGCATCAAATGGCGTGTTTGATTGATCTGCCTGCAGCCGCCCAGTGAGTATTCTAATATCGTCGGGAGAGTCAACCATCCTTAAATTAACATTGGGATGCCTTTCGATACATAGTCTTCCCTGCTATTGTCACAACTAAAAGAAGATTCTATCTTGATTTCCTATTTTTAAACCAAAATTAGACATCAGCATGACATGTTCAAAGATGTTTCAAGTGCAATTTCCTTATAATAATAATAATTTAGCCTTTCTTGAATCAATAAATCTCAAGTTCTTGATTTAGTGACAATAGTTATTTTGAGGGAGCAAAATTGAAGCATCATTTAGGAATCCATCATGCTTATCCACAAGTCATCGCACATCATGCCGACACGAATCGCCAAGCTCATCGGCGCTTAAATTTACGATCATACCCCTCTGACTTACTGAAACTGAGGGTGGCCCCACGTGTGGGACCTTTTGCTGGTGCGGCGCTGGGTAATCTTTCCTTCACATTGTCCCGACGCCAATCGCAAAAGACCACGAGTTTAAATGTATGTTTGCTCTTGTGGGACCCATTGAAAGACCGTTCACGATAGAGGAAGTTGATGCCGGTAATCGAGGGGTACGAAACATTAGGTACGTATAATTTTGCTCAGATTCTTAAATACAGTTTACTCGCCCGTATCACGTCCGGCAAAAGGCGCATAAAAGGGACGGAGGGCGCGAAGAGCCGTAAGACGTCGTCTTCGCCCTCGCGGAAGCCCCATCCGCCCGCGAAACGATCAAAGAACCCAAGTCGGAATCTTCCATTGTCTAATCTCTAGCTTTTTGCTCCCTGAGGTAGAAATCTTGTAGGGACGACGTTTACATCGAAAGGATTTTCTCGGATGGCTCAGGGACCGTTCCAACCGGCGGAAAAGGCTTCGGATGGCGAAATCGGTGATGCTTTTGTCTTTCGTCTGCTAATTTGCTCTCTTTCTCGAGATCTTTACTTTCGTAACTGAGTAGATGCTAAAAAGTTTGGATTTGGGCGGGAAGTTCTTGGTTTTCCCAAAGATCTCTCGTCTCTCTGCAAAAAAGTAGGCCATCGAGACGCCTATAGCAGTGCTTCTATGCTGGGGTTTCTTTTTCCTGGAATAACTGCGACACCCTGACGTTGATAAGAAGGTGCCACACTAAAGATGATAGAAATCTGTGTTAGCTATTAACAAACAAGAAAAAGATCGATAATCATCGGATTAGACCATGAACGAGGGAGGTGTTGTGTAGGTGTTAAGCTTTAGCAGTCTTCTGTATCAGATAGAAAATTTAGCTTTTCAGGCTCCATCCTGCCCAGGAAAACAACGGCGTCAAGTGACTTCTTGAATTCTCGTCACTGGTTCTTCTTGTGTCGCTTAGTGGGTGCTTGAGTGCAAACAGAGACGCAACCTACTTATAACTCAGTACGCGGGGCCAAATATGCGCTTAGTGCTACTTGGTTCTGCTGAGCCACCGATCAAAGGACGAGCTGGTTTACGGAGGAAGCAAGCAGGACGGGGCTGCTACCGAGCCAGCTGAGAAAGTTCTGGTTTCTTGAAATTTCACCTTCTCAGAGGTCAGATATCAAGTTTGTAAATGAGAAATACCACCATGCTGAGGCAGTTGCTGAGGAATCTGTGTCACAACACGCGGTGGGACTATGCTGTCTTTTGGAAGCTTAAGCAGGAGACAAGAACGTAAGATTCTTTATATAGACATCATTCAGTGTGCTTCTCTAGTTCGAGATAAAAGGATATCCATGTAACTGTTCTTAACTAGTTCTGTTTTCATTGAACTTGTTACTGCATATGTATCCTATAGCCGGGCTTACTCAGAAGCTCACCAAGTCTTTTTCTTAACTTGCATCTAGGTATGTTTAGTTTCATATTTTGTCTTATTATGATCAATTTGGTGTCATTATGTCCATTTTATAATGCTGCTGCAGGCACAAGTTGCCTTTAGACTAGCTGGTTTCCTGGGTCAACATATTTCATTCAAATACACATTTTGTATTGAAGATGTTAGGGAGCATGCTACTTGCTTCCTTTTTTTTCTTCTTTTACATGTTTTTTGCCCCGAATAATGTAACTTATACCGAATCTAGGTTTGCTGCATAACTTTGACTTGTTTATTGTTCTACTTATATAACTATGAGATGCTTGGATACTTCTGTTTGTGGTACTTTTGTTCTAGTTTTATCTGGTATATAAGTAGTCGAGACAATTACTATTTTTTTGTCACAAGCATCAGCAAAAATATTTGCTTCCGGTGCGACTTTCACCTAGGTTACATACCTCTTCTCATACTATCTATGAGATCCAACACCATTATTTTTTTTGCTGATCTATCATGTATTATTATTTCAGGGTGTTGACATGGGAGGATAGCTATTTTGATGATGCAAAAGCAAGAATTAAATTGGAAGATACTCTGTCTGATGGATCCCTCCATATTAACCGTGGGATGATTTCTTTTGTGGATTCTAATCATGCCCAATATCAAAATTGTACTAGTCATCCAATCAAGGTGTCGCTGGCAAATATGAAATGTCATCGTTATTCACTTGGGGAAGGGTATGCAGGCTGAGCCGTTAGTTATTCTCACCCCCATTTTCCTTTTGCCCTCTTTAGGTTGCTCAACTAGTCACCTTACTAGTCAAGACTCTAGGGAGGTTATTCTAGTGTTTCGATGTATCTAATCTCAAGAACTTTAACATCTCAAACTCTGGATGGTAGGTCATTTTTGTACCTTTTTTCTGTCTTCTTTGTTACCACTTTTTCCATATTTGTGAAAGATGACAATTCCAGCATTGCCGGTAAAGATAATAATGTTGTAGTTTTACTGGTTTCACTGGGTTTGGATCTTTTAAGTCATTTGGGTGTCTGTTTAAGCATCTGATTTATGCAGAAATGGATGAAATATCACTTTAAACTTATTTTCAATATACTAGATGTTTTTGCTATTTATCTTTTATTAAAATTCTCTCTGTCAGTCAGTTTAAGCAGATAGTTTATTCTTTCATTCCTTGTATGCATATGTCAGCTAACAAAGTCTTGTTGTAAGCCTTAATCTCAACTAATTTGGTGTTCCATGGTCATCTTGGACTTTTCAGCTTTTTAGGTGTTTAGGAGTAACAGACTGGCTTTTGTTGCATTTTATGGACATATTAATAAAAATGTCTAACTAAAATATTTCAGTTGAATGAGAAGTTCAGTTGTTAAAAAGCTTTTTCTCTTGTGCGAATTCAGTGCTAATAAAGCTGGGAGTTCTGGGATTGTTTTACGTAATATTGTAATGGTAGCAGAGTTGTGAAAAAGTTATGGCTGAAATAAGCAAATGCTGTCTAGATTTTGTCTTACATTCACCCTTCTGGAAGAAGGTTCCCCTTTCTAAATATCTTATTATCCGTTTCTTTTTCGAAGATTACTAATCATGTTTGGCATAGTCCAAATATACGATCATGAGAATAGTTATCACCATGGTTTGCCGTACCGGACTGTACCGCCTGGTACGGGTGGTACGTACCGGTCCGACAGCCTAACGGTACGCGGACCGCCCGTACCGAGCACTGTAGCACTGTAGCAGTGCTACAGTGCTAGGTACACCTGGGTGTACCGAGCAGTATACCGTACCGTACCGGTACCGAGCCCGGGTCGAAATGCCGGTACGGTACGGTACAGCGAACCTTGGTTATCACAATGTTTGAACTTGAGGATTCTCTCCCTCTTCTGTCTTGAGTCAAAACCGAGAGACATGCTCCTGATGTGCATGGAACTCTTTCAAGGAAAGACCACAAAAAAACAAAGCCGATGATCAATGCTTGACCTAATGCAACCTCAAAATATAAAAAAGTCTCTGAATATAAAGAAAAAAAAGTGACATCTAGAACAAAAGAACTTCGAAGTGAAACACAGTGATGTCAATGGCCGAGATCTATCTTTTGAAGCAAACTAAACTATCAATATCAAAACAATTTTTGCTGCTCGAATTTTTTTTCCTATCAATTTGATAGTCTAAATGAAAATACAAGTCCTGTTGATCAAAATACTCAACATGGAATTTGATCTCCAAAATCCTGCATCTGGAATCTTCTAGCATATCACTTTTTGAATCCTCAACGAGGATTTCTTAGTTTACAGGCTTGCATGTTTGTCTTACAGGGTTGTGGGGAAAGTGGCACTTACCCGGAGGCATTCCTGGATCTTTGCTGATGAATTGAAATCTGAAGACCACTTAGATGTGAGTTGTTAGTTGGGTCACTGCTATCTCAAAATTGGCTACTATTATTCTCTTACATGGAATGAAATGCAAATTGAGGAAATTTTTTTTACTTGTACAGTCATGCGAGGATTGGCAACTGCAGTTGGCAGCAGACATTAAGGTAGTGGTCATCTGTTTTATTCAGAGTTGTTAAATATTGTGATCCTCTTTCCTTCTGCCTAAGCCTTTACTAATATACACATTTGGATGATTCAATGGTTTTGCAGACTATTTTGCTTGTACCTGTTGCCTGTTATGGAGTTGTTCAGCTTGGTTCATTAGAAACGGTTGGTTCCTTTGATCTGGTTATATCAGTTTATGACTGTAGTCAAATATTTGGTTCCTCAGATCTAGTTTTTATATTTAGTATATGCCTACAGTTCTTAGAGATACTAGATGTCAACCATTAATGAGAGTACCTTCCCCAGCAGATTGGGTAATAAGCATTTATGATTAATCAGTTAAACAAAATACCTTTTGTTCCCAAGTACAACAAGGTGTTTTCAGGTAAAGATAGACTCGATACTTTTCAGGAAAAATTCTTACTTGGACGAGTGCTTTATCTTTCAATTACAAACAACTACCTCCTCTATTGACCAGTCCATAGCACAATCCAACATGGACTCTGGGATCATGATTCCACTTTCTGTTTTCAGTACCTATTCCTATTGGAGAGAGAAACTCTTTTACTGAAGTAAGCACAATTAAGCAAATCTTGCGTCACCTTTATCATGGCCATTTCTTAGACAGTTTTGCTACAGAGACCTTTCTCTTGGTCAACTAATTGATAGCTCCATTATTTTCTATTCTTTGTTTTGCATCTTATTGTCTTCATTTTTTTTCCCATTACATTAACAGGGCTGTTGTTAAGGCAAGCAATATCCTTTGTCACTAAACCAAGGCATCGCCCATCATCCATCAGTGACAAAGCGTATAATGCAGCCCAGAAAATTTGCTTAAAAGTGGTGATTCATTTGAAATCTCTTGCTTTTTTTTTTGTTAGTGATAGCTTCCGGTTGACTGCATTCAGTGTTTAATTTTTGCATTTTATTTTTGAGCTTTGCTACTATATATCATTTCCATGGTATATCCAATTATCAGGATATTCCATCTTGACAAATTTTATTTTCCCTCTAAAATTCAGGTTGTGGAAGATACAACATTGGTGTTCCACATTAAATGCTTATTCTCTGCTCTTTACCATGACTTGGAGACTAGTGATTCCTTAGATTCAGGCATTAATTGTTCAAACATCTTATCACCAGTTAATGTGCCTTCCTTGACAAACAGTTCAACATCAGTTTTCAGTTCATTCAATTCATCTCAGGTGCAACAGCCTTGGACTATTGATTCTAACATGTTGCCCTTTTTCATGGTTGACCATAATTCTCCATCGTCAGAGAATATTTTGGAGAAAATTCTTGACACAGATACAATACTAGATATAGATGAAAATGTTATTAATGCAGCGTGCAATTATCTGTGGCTAGCCTCCACTGAAGAACCACAGTACTTCAGCCACCCAAATACCATGCCTGAAGGTGATACGTTTGATCTTTTGTTCACCGAAAATGAGACAAAAATAAGTTTACAACCAGATCCTTTAGATTGTATATCAATTTCTGACAAAGAGCAGTATGGCTATGATTTAAGTGCTGAAGATATGACATACAAGGAATCAGAAAAGAATTATGCTAGCAAGACAAATTCCTTAGTAAATGGCAGATTTCTTTCCTTTCCAATTGATTCAGAGCTACACAAGGCACTTGGAATTACTTCTATGGAAGAATACAATGGCTGTTTCTTGAATACAACAGTACCAATGGACGATGGATCTGATAATTCAATTACTACCTTCCAAGGTGTGGTATCCGAGTATCATGATCACACATTTGATGAATCTAATTCATGGCTAATTAAAGAAAGTGAGACAGAATATCTGTTTGATGCAATGGTAAGCAGTTTACTCTGTGGCTCAGATGATGACACATTTGATGGCAAATCTTCGAGATCATTCAGTGATAACTTATCAGAGAGTCTGGTTGATTCTTCCCCAAGAGAAAACAAAAGTGAATCCAGTGTCTTGGACATTTGCAGTGTACTGCCGACCAGTCAACAGAGGTCCACATCTGTATCAAAAGCTGATGGATTCATGAGTTCTCCTATTTCTTCATGCAAGAGTTTCTGTAAGTCGACTAATGAAGATAATTACAATCACATGGCTAAAGGACGCTACAGCAGAAAGTTGGCCATGAAAAACAAAAGAGGAGTTAGAAATGGCAACAGCCACAAACCACGACCAAGAGACAGGCAGTTGATCCAAGAGCGAGTCAAGGAATTGCGCGAGCTTATTCCAAATGGATCAAAGGTAAGTCATTTAAGTTAAGGAGTACTCCTAGCATGTCCTCTGGTCTTTAAATCATGTGTTCTAACGCCATTTCCTTCTGCTGTACAGTGCAGCATCGATGCATTGTTGGATAGAACTGTTAGCCATATGGTATTCCTGCAAAGTATCTCTTCTCAGGCTGAAAAACTGAAACAAACTGCGGACACAGAGGTAGATAAACCATCATGGAGGTCTTGATGATCATAAGCACTTCTGGTAGCATTGTCTAAAATCATTAACAGTAGTTGTTGTGCACCATTTAATTGCTTTACCTGGTTCTCTAGGATCTCAAACTATGCCCCTTAGGTGCTGCCGAAGGAGTGCACACACTTAGTTTATAAATTTGCATGGTTCGCTAAACTTAAACTTGTGAGGTATTAGATTGTTTTGTGTGTCCATGACTCTAAATATGGTTATCCCTACCATGAGATCACCAAATATGTAGCATCAATCCTTGTGATTTTTCATTCCCTGGTTCTCTTGACAAAAGAAAGTGGTGCGGATTATATCTCTATTCAAGCCACAACTACAATCGTCCCATCACTCCAGGGACATGATTAATGTTCTCGCACAAACATTCACCTGTGAGATGGCAGCCATATTTTATAGCCATGCCACAGTACTAAGAGAAGCTGACATAATGCTGATGCTCAGTTCGGAGGATATCTGAGCCCTGAACTCTGTTTTACTACATAATATACCTTGACCTTGCTGCAACTACAACTGATTACCAATGAGGAAATTTTCATTTTTAAGTTGTTTTATTGGAAAAAAAAAGAAAGAAAGATGGATGACACTGCTGACTAAAATTTTGATAATACTGCATATAAATGGTATTTTTACTGAACCAGTGGACAATGAAATTGCAGGCCAAAAGTGAGCTTTGCAGTTCTGCAAAACCACAAACTCAAGCTAATGGAGCCAACTCGGCCTGTGAAGAGGGGAAGCAACCAGAGTTTTGGCCTATACTAGTTGAAAACCTTGACCAACCAGGACAAATCCTCATAGAGGTACCATATAATATTTTGAGTAAATTATTATTTTCCACCTCCTTACTAAGCTATGTATCTCACCAGGTGCAGTGCAATGACTATGAGCTCTTTCTGGAAATTGTGCATGTCATTAGGCGACTAGAGCTGACAATCCTGAAGGGAGTTCTGGAAAGTCGATCGAACAAACTCTGGGCTCATTTCATAATCGAGGTAGGCTGATGCCAAGCTTGTAACACACTATACATGGATAGTGATGAACGAGATGACCATTTACGGTTTACGTTTACTCGAAGAATTAAATTTTCGTTTCGTTACTCTAACATGAGACAAATGGCATATTCTTCTAAACAGGCGTCCAAAGGCTTCCACAGAACACACATTCTTTTGCCGCTGATGCAGCTTTTGCAGCGAAAATATGCACTGATGCCGCGCAAGTTCTGATCACTCATCATGTTGGATTACTGAAACATCCGCTTGTATGTGTTAACGTTATCTTGAATGAATGTAGATGAACTTAAAGTTGTATGCTTAAACAATTTACGTATTACTATGTCAATTGAGTTCATCATCAAAATTACATGCATAATTTTCGTGTATAGGCTTTTTGAATAATACAATTAGGAAGATTTTTGGGATGTACATGTCAAGAAAAAATATCATGAATCAAAAGTTTGGCAGTAAGAAGTTGAACCCAAGAGACGTAGGCATTCTTACTTCCATGGTGAATGCAGTGGTGGTGTTGTTGGAGATGCTCACCTTCTTTTGATAGATACATAGATAGATAGATATATATGCCCCCATCAACTTAGACATGAAAGGTGTCAGCTGCCATGTCATGCACCAATTTAAATGGAACACTGTCCGGTAACAATCGTACTGTGTGAGCCACACGCGCACACCTCGAACGAGCCAATCATCGAAGGACGCGATCTCTACTTCACATGGGTTCGTGTGGACTTCCAACAACGTGGTGGGCGCCGCCACGATGTTGCTTGCGTATGAATCCTCTCTTCATCGCTTCTCGTAGTGACTGACTTAAATTGCGTCCCAAATTTCTACGTGAATCGGAGAGGATGACACCTCCATACCCCACCGACAGTCTTTGGCTTACAACAATTGACAAGTCCAAAAGAGATGGTTCTCAGATTCAATGTAAATTGCATGAACGATTGGATTCAATTATTGGAGCGGCATGAGGGCCTACTCGAACATTGCTCGAGTCACTTCATATGATTTCTTCGTCCAACCAAAGTTTGGTCTTGAGATGATGGTATACTACTATTCAGCCACGAAAAATGTTTCCATCGCATGTCCTTATCCACACCCATATCATTTATCTAAAACACAACTCTTTGCGAGATAAAAGAGTTGTGTTTTGCTACCACATAGTATTCTATCAATCGATTTAATGCTTGGAACGAAGGAATTCCTCGGAGATGCACAAAAAAAGTAAGGGGAGAGAGAGAGAGAGAGAGAGAGAGAGA